TTGTGTGTGTGTGTGTGTGTGTGTGTGTGTGTGTGTGTGTGTGTGTGTGAATCCGTGGTGACAAGCAAGCCAGCTGGGCCCAGGGGCATCTGCAGCATATACCATATTATATATTTTTGGCCTTCAAATATTCAACTTTAGATAAACAAAAGCATTCATCACATGAAGTTAGCATGGGATTGTTTCTGTCTGATTGTTTAGATTTGGTATGTAGTTGTTTGGGTTTAATGGTTGTGCAAGAATCACAAGTGTTATGGTATTTACAGCTGGGCTTGTGTTTGCACAAGTTTAATTAACAGCATATCTTGTCTGGGGCCCTATTTAAAAGCGTCTGTAGCTTATTCAAGCAAAGCTACTGCTCGACTTGACATTGATGCTGCCCTGTCCTTCCAAGGGGTTGGCTGATGGGCATGTCCTTGCTAAACTACCAAGGAAATGGAAGGCACAGTTCACACAAGGGACAGGTCTGTCTCCTGCAACCAGAATGCAGAGCCTCAGGCTTGGACAGCAAGCTCGAGAATAAACTGCAAGGTTTTGTTTGTTTGTTTGTTTTTCAGGGTCAAAGTTTATCAGACACTCCTGAGGAAGCCATGCCTTTAAAGGCAAGATTTAATGAAATTTGCAATGTTATAAAAAACAACAACAACCACCTCAGAGTGGAAAGCATACTTGATGTGTGGCTAATGCTGTGGAAAACAGAATCCACCAAGAGCCTTTGCCTCAGAGATCTTGTCATATTCCTTTGCCTAACAACCTGCCATCGGCCAGTTACACACCCATCAGTCAATTAACAAGCGCTTGTAAATATAAGCGCTTGCCTACCCACCGGAGGCCATGGCTCAGCGCATCTCCCCTCTCTAAATTGATGCTCCTGCAGTCGGCCTCCAGCACCGGTGGTGGGTACTGATTGAATCCGCCTATGGAGAGAACAAAGTTATAGTTTGATTTCCAAACCAGATATTGGGTTTTCTAGGCAAAGAGAACCCCAACAGGAATCTTCTCCAAGAAATAAATGTTAGTAACACATTTCAAGAGAATTTGGCTGCGGTGAAAATGGAAAATACTGGCCACTAGACATGGCATTCACAATGTGAGCTTCAGAGGGCTTCAGTGTGCAAAGAATTACTAGGATCATGGGGAAGGGCTTAAGGTGTTCAGGGAAGGGTGAATTACAATGCAGGGACACGTGAGTGCTGGGCCTATGCTAACATAACCTGAGAAACAATCTACTCTGATTCTCTACGGCTTTTCCCCCAGACTTAAACTGCTAGCTCAAACATAGAAAAGATGGTGTCTTATTACATGATATTATTTCTTTGCTTCTGCACCAATAAACACTGATTTCCTATGAGAAAGGGAGTAGCAGAAAGGATTTTAACTTACTGTCAACACAATACATCTCTTTCGGCTCTTTCTGTATCGTCTGTAAGCTGTACAGTACTGTGGTCTATAATTTTTTCCTTTCACGCAGGAAAACAAATTTTAATGAAACAAGGCCCTTGGTTATCGAAGATCCAAGACTCAAGCATGAAAGCATCTCAAAGAATCCCTGTAGTTTCATTTCTCTGGTTCTAGGAGATACTTTTTTTTTTTTAATTTGTCTAAAATGAGAGTATGTCTCTGATCAGTTGCATTTGACAGCGGCTATTGGTGGAAAGAGGAATCGTGACCCAGAAGTTACTTCTGTATACAGGACAGTGAAAATGCAGAGAACCTGGGCTGGCACTTGGGCGCAAAAGTTCTGAAGGAACAGAAGATGATAGAGCAGCCATATAACTCCAACAGATGAATTAGGTTCAGGGAGGCAGGAAAGCTGGGAGTCGGCTTTGCTCAACTGCCAAGCCACTTCCTGGCCCTGAAAGACCAGGCCCCAGTTACCTTGCATCTTTAAAATCACTGCATTACTAGCCATCTGGATGGCACAAAGGACAACAGCGTGTGGGGAATGATGGGCCCAGAGCCATGCATCTGGGTCCAGGAGTCAAAGTTCTAAAATCTGAGTGTTTGCAAGAGTCTTTCTCAGATGAGAAGTTGTTTAGCGATGACCTAGCAGTCTGCTACATAGGCAGGTGTTCCTTGATACGTGTCCCGGAGTGACATCCATGGATATACATCTGGAAGAATTACTATTAAAAACCCTCGGATCTAATGGAAGCATTGGTATAAAAATGCATTTGGAAGCATTTTTTTTTTAATTTCTCTTTATGGCATCTGAGTGAGACCATGTTAAGTTTAAAGGCAATAATCTAACATTCCCAAGAGGATGGGAGTACAGTGGAGAATATATCCTGAAGACACTATTCCCGCTGTGGTGTGGAGACATTCCTTCAATGCTAGGGAAATACAGAGTCTTCCTTTAAACCTGCCAGAATCCTGGACAGAACATGCTCAGCTCCATTTTCTGGAATCTTCCAGAAGCCAGTGCTATGGTTTGGATAAATGACCTCAGAAGTCCGTGAGTTAAGACTTGTTCTCTTGGGAAGGGATACTGGGACATGCCTTATTCTTTAGGAGGTAGGGCCTAATGAAAGGTACCTAGGTCATCAGGGCATACCCTTGGAAGAGTCCCAAGACCCCCTCCCTTCTCTCTGTCTTGCTCCTGGCTGCTGATGAAAGCAAATTTGTTCTCCCCTATACGTCGGCCATGATGTGCCAAAGTCTCAAGCACCAGGCTACCTGACTCTGGACAGTAAACTCCACAAGCATGATCAAAAATAAGTCTTTCCTTTTCATACGTTAATTGTCTCGGGTATTTAATTTTATATTGGGCAGACTAACACAAAGGTTTCTTCATCACAGTTTCCTAGTATCTGGGAGCTGGGTTATTTTTGATCAGGAGGGCTGAATGTCCAGCCTGTGAATCGTAGAATAGTAATAGCTTCTTTAGCTTCTACCTACTTGATGTTAATCGTAAGAATCAGAAAACTGCCCCAGACATTTCCGACTATGTCCTGGAGACAAAATATCACAAACACCCACCCACACATACATCCTCCCCCTCTCCGACCCTACACAACGAGAGGTGCTATTTCTAAACCCCGGCAGGCTGACACTGTTGCTGTCTATCATTTCCAGTGAGACAGAGTCCATCGATCATGCCCTGTTGTGCTCCAGCAACCGTTGTCAAGGTCCTTTAAAAAGCTGTGTAGTGCTTACTCTCAGTCTTTGAACGTGGCGCCTCAAGGGTCACTTTGTGGGCTGGCTCGAAGCCAAGGGGCATCACATTGCAGCATGTTGGGCTGGAGTCACGGTGCTTAAAGTGTGGTCTGTGAACCACAGTACTGGCATCACTCAGGCACCTATGACCAACGGTCTCAGGCTCCGCCCCAGCCCTCGTGAACAGGCGCTGCCTCCAGGGTTTTAGAATCCCCATGGGACATGCTTGGTATCACCACATCCTCGCACAGCTCCCCGCTACGTGCCAAGACTGGGAAATGAACTCGTTTAAATGCTTCAACCCTCCTTTCTAAGAGCTGTTGGGACTGCCTCAGGTTGTACAAAGACAGCTCAGGAGACTACCAGTCACGCCGTGATTTCCACTACACAGATTTGGGCAAGAGATGTTCTACCATAGCAAGGTCTGACCATCTTATACCCAAGGCATAATCAGGATACACTCAGGAGATGTAGCAACTTTGCCCCAGTCACTACCTAATTTATATATTTTGATTAGTTATAAATCTGATAAGATTAATCTTAGCTTATCAATACCACTGCCAAACAATACTCCGTTAAAACAAAAGAAAGCAAATAATGACGTACGTCTGACAAAGTACACAAATGGCTTCAGGAACTTGACGATATAATTCAGATCTGGCTTGTACATCCTCCCAAGCTGTATCAGATGGTGGTCCAGTGGGTAGCTGGCTAATTCTTCCATCTCATCTCTCTGTGTGGAGCCCAGAGAAATCACAAAAATGACATAGCCTTGACATTTGGCCCTCAAAGCCACTGTCTTCAAGAATTCCTTCTCCTCGTGGTTTTCTCCAGCTGAAATCACAATGATGACCTTGTGTTTTCTTGGACTGGGGGCTCCTAGGAAGAGATCCTCCATGGCCCACTGTAGGGCAAGACCAATGGTGGCCTCTCCGTTTAGCTGCTGGAGGGAAGTGTGGATGTAGTTCTTCATGATGGACTGATCATCGTAGGTTGTAAATGCAAACTCTGTCTTCACCCTGCCCTTCCTTTTGGAACTCTCTGAGGGAGGATAGCTCAGCAAAGCAACCCTGTCACCAGAGTCGGAGGCTGACGGGTTTGATGTGATGTGGAAGTTGTCAATCACTGAGCTCACCAATCCTTTCATGGCTTGGAAGTCATCGTTGGCTATGTTACGGGAATTGTCTAAGAGGAACGCTACGTCCATGTATGAATTTTCAGGAAAGGTAGGCTCTTCCACACAAGTATTTGGAAAACACTTGTCTGAAAACACAGAGAGATGCATCATGGGATCAGTACCAGCACAAGACACCGAGAGCTTCCGAGAATTAATGATCTTATCAATACTTCTATTTGACATCATTTAAATTAACAAGAAGTGGTCAATGTCTGAGTACTGTTGTGGCAACTAGCAGCTAAGGACAGGGAGGAAAAGGGGAGGGGAGGGCTATGGCTATGTTGGAAACAGATTTAGGTGGCATGTGTCTCTGAAGTCCACAATCATGTTTAAACTCATGCAGAAGGTATTTTCAGTAGTTTAGAGGCTCCTCTCAAGACAACTACAACAGGGTTCCGGGAGAGACTACACCAGTTTCCACATTCTACAGAAAGGCTATAAACATTAGAGATTGGAACCCCGACATAGTGCATTTTCCCAAACTGGAAAGCTGAAAATAGAACCACTATCGTAAATAGAAATCTCTCACTAGTGCCCAATTCGATATCTCAGCAGGCACCGACTGTGCCTCCTGCACAGTCAACCTTTCCCATCAATCTTACCATAGCAAAGTGTGCAGCGTCGAAGCATTTCCTGTGGCTCGTAATCTCCAACTGGAGGAACCGGAATCACTTGAAATGTCCCAGTGTCATCAAACTGCATTAAAAAAAAAAAAGAAGCAAATGTTGCTTTTGTAATTTAAGCCTTTATTGAGAAATTATTATGTGCTAATCATGAGAAAAAGCTTAAAAAATGTCCACTATCACTATAACTTTGCATTATAATCTTTTGATTTATCCAGTCTGTCTGTCTGTCTGTCTCTCTCCACACACACACACACACAAACACACGCCATCGGGATGCCTATCTTATGTATTTTATGATAAGGGTTTTCCTTTTAATGTGTTTGGATACTTTGCCTGAATGTCTGTCTGTGCTGCATGCATGCTTGGTGTTCTTGGGGCCAGAAGGGAGAACTGGAGCCCCTGGGACTGGAATTACAAATGGTTATGAATCACTGTGTAGACGGTGGACAGCAAACCCATGTCCTCTGAAAGAGTAGAGAAAGCTCTTAACCGCCAGGCTATCTCCCTACCCCAGGCTTAACATCTCATTCCCATGACTGCAGGCCAAGTTAATTTTAACATGTTCCTATGTGACACACGGTGGGATACACCTATCACCAGCTTCTAAAGTTGGGCCCTTCAGAAAATTTTTATTCATAGGTTTCCACCAGTCCCTTCAGGTGGTGATACCAGAACCACCTCTACTGCGCTCCATCAAAAAGGTTCATCTTGCTGATGTCACGAGGACTTTTCCAATCACAAACTCCAGTGAAGTTTATCTCAAATGGCAATAGACGGAAGGCATTGCGTTTATTCAGAATTCTTGCCTGTAACTTCTCCGTCATTCCTCGTCTCTCTGTGACTGACCACCCCCTTTCTCTTTCCATCTGTTTCTTGATTACTGTTTTGCTTTAGTGATCACCAAAGTGGGCAGCACGCGACGTTCGCTCATCCATTGAGTCGGTACGTCATTTGGGGACACTTATTTTTTGTGCTCCTATGTAAAGCAGATGCTATTATCACAGTGGAAGGAACATACCTTTTCCAGACAGTGAAGAGGCTACCCCTCAGCCCACAGCAATATTCAGGGCTGGTTTTCCTCTTCCCTCCCATCACAGGAGGAGGAGAAAAGCCACTCCCTCCGCCTTTCTGTAAAGTGCCGAGTGTTTAAAAAATACTTGTAAACATTTCAGCCTTAGGATGAGAGTTATGTGTTACTCCTTTACTCCTACGAAATTGGACACTTGGGGTGTGACTGTACAGTTGACCATTTTTGGTCCCACATCTAGAGATTACAAGCTCACTCCATGAACCAAGGACTTGATTCACGGGAGTGAGCCACGCGCTCTGCGTTCATTTATTCATGCATCCAGCAAATATGGATCAGATGCCAACAATGTTATAGGTACAGTTTTGATGTTAGGGGTATTGAAATGAACAGATAAAATGTCTCTGCATTATCTTCTAGTGGGGTAGACCCATCACAAACATAAAAGTAAGTAAATTATCTGTATGTTGAGCGATAATTTCCTTTCGAAACAGAGTTGGGTAGGAAGGATGGGACATGATGGGTACCATTTAAATGAAATTCACCTAGAAAGTGAGAGAGAAAGAGAAGCTGAGAAGGATCAGCCAACCAGGTAAGAGGATGCCCAGAAAGATGACATGCTGCGGACCGCTGACCGTCAGTGTGAGACACTCGTATCCATCTTAGTCAGAACATCTGGGATTACTCAAAAGAGACTCCTCCACAAGCTTGGCTCTGACCTCCCTCATAGGAGGAGGAGGTCAGGAGGGTCCTTAGATCCTCACCACAGATTCCAGACACTTCTGCCTTCATTTCCCACTCTGCATACAGCTGAGGGATGTGCTGGCATATACTGAACAGGAACCTCGTCTATGCAGTCATGGAAGCGTATTCATCTATATGTGGGTGAGACTGCTTCGTGATGCATGGTTTGGGGTTTTCATCCACATTCTGCTACGTACGTAATTCTTCCTCCCATGCTCCTATGACTAATCCCTTGTAGTAGTTAGGTTTTGTTGCTGTGATAGAATACCACGACCAGAAGCAACTTAGAGAAGGGACATGATTCTCTGGCTGATGGTTCCCGGAGGGTTGGAGTCCACAGCGGTGAGGAGAGATGGCTGCAAACAGGAAGAAGAAGGGCAGCAGCAGCAAGAGGCCGAGAGACCACATTTCGGCCCCAAGCACAGGAAACAGCAAACTACAGGTTGACATCCTTCCCCCCAGTGAGGGCACACTTCCTGAAGGTTCCACAGCCTCCTCAAACAGTGCCACCAGCTGGGGACCAAGGGCTCAAATACTGAGCCTATAATATAATAGCCTTTTCTTTCTAAATTCAAGCCCCGCAGCCCTCACTTATTCCATGCATCTGTAAGTAAGCCCACGTTTCATTGGTTCACTAAGCTGGATGTGGGCGGAGCTGTTATTTTGGTTTGTCGCTGGTGGGCTATCCGAGGTGAACAGACATTTGTTCTTGTAACATGTGCTAGATTAGTGTGGGGGAAAATGTTTCCAAGGAAATACAGGGTCAAAAGGTGTCTTACATTGCTAATAGTTGTGTGGGCAGAGTGTGGGAACCAGCCCCGGGTACAGAAATAGTGAGAATACAGTAGACTGAAAAAGAGTGCTTTGCAGGCAGCGTCAGAGATAAAATGTGACTAGGATGTGTTTCGGGAGAGAATGTAAGAGCCAGGTGTTGTCTGTGCCTGATCTCAGCTCCCAGGATGGTGAAGCAAGATCATTTCTTCAGTCCATGAACCCAACTTAAACAACATATCAAGGTGAGAGAGAAACATACGGTGGGAGAGAAACAGAGGGAGGGGGAGCGTAACAGAAGAGGGGATGAAAAGAGGGAGAAATGGGGAAAGAGGAAGAGAAGGAGACAGACAGAAGGGAGAGGAGGAGAGGGAGGGAGAGAAGGAAAAAAGAAAGGGGAAGAGAGAAGGGGTGAAAAACTATGCAATAAGTGTTGCGTTCAGCAAACAAGACAATTTTCCCTAAGAAATCACTGTATGGGGAGCTAAGAAATAGGGTCATAATTAAAGTAAGAAGTTGGACCAGGTAAACTGCATTTTTTCTCTCTTGATTAGAACAATTTGACAGAAGGGAGCAAATGATCTATAGTAGCCAGGGAGTCTCTGGCAAGAATAAAACTGCAACACTTTAGGGAATGCCTGGGTGCTTAATAACTGCTCATTCTGTCCAACTCATGGGAGGGAACTCCACCAGAAGAGCAGCCTTTTAGAACTTGGATCTAAAACCTGCAACATTCTTATAAATTTCTGGAACACCAGGGGGATGCGGCAAATTTGGTTTCCAGTTGAGGCATATCCCGGAGACAAAAAGGATGAGGCAGTGTTTTCAAATAGGTTTGTCAAAAGAAGCTATTTTAAAATGCTATGAGGAGTGCGAGGTGGCTCAGAAAAGTGAAAACGACCCCCAAAAAAAGCCCACATAAAAATGTTTTCTCTTCACACAGAAGTACTGGTTATAACAATGGGATACTCTTTATCACCTCGGTAAAAAAATAAATAAACAAAAAAAATAATAATAATAGTGGTTTTGTTATGTTAATTATATGTATCTGTGTGTGGGTGTGGGTACTTGAGTTCAAACGCCTTTGGGAGCTGGAGGTCCCCGATACCCCAGAGTTGGAGTGACAGGTGGTTGAGAGTTTCCTCACATGGGTGAACTGAACTCAGGTCCTCTGCAAGAGCAGTACCTGCTCTTCACTAACGAGTCGTCTCTCCAGCCCCTCACAGTGGTAAAAAATTTTTAAACACACATAAAAACCCAAAGTTGCAGAGTACAGACACACAGGTGCTGCTTCCACGCTGAGGCCTCTGTGGGGGTTGGGCGTGGTCCCAGCAGAGACTATAAATTGAATTTGACATCCTTCAGGTTCCTCCTATTTAGAATTAGATGTGGCTCTCAGAGCGAGATGCCACTCGTTTCTTGCAGAGAACAAAACTGCCGTATCAAGAAAGCTTGGGAAGGGAAACCAAGAACCAGGAGACCGTGGCTTCTAAGATCCTTTTTGTCCGGGACTTTTGTGGCTCCTACTTCCATAAAATGTGTGTACATGTGCCTGTTCGTGTGTGTCTCTATGTGTGTATCTGTGTGTCTGGGGAGGGGGCCAGGAGCGAGCTGATTCCCTCTCCCTTTTTATTATAGAGCTGCGTGCATATGAAGAGATCTTCACAGCCTCCTGAGCGATGAGAGGGCTCCACCCAGCCCCAGAACCTGTTGCGGTTTGAATGTGAGGTGTTACCCCCCTGGATCCTGTGTTGGAACACTCGGCCCCCAGCTGGTGGTGGTGTTCCGTAAGGCTATTGAACCTCCATGAGGTGAAGCTCTACTAGAAGAAAGGAGCCACTGGGGGTGGGCCGTGATGCCTGGCCGAGCCCCACTTCCTGCCATCTTCCTTCTTCCTTACTGCAGATGCCGGGCTGCCCAGGTGCTTCAGGCTTCCCCACCATGCATCCTTCCTGACCCACAAGCCAAAATAAACCCTTTGTCCCCTAAGTCGCTTCTTGTCCAGTACTTTGTCAGATATGAGGAAGCTAACAACACATACACACATACACACACACACACACACACACACACACACACACACACACACACGTTACTCAATACATTGAAAAGTCACTGGACAGTAGGTGAAGGTGATATGCAATTTGGCCTTTTTTTTTTTTTTAAGTAGTTTGTTTTGTTTGGGATAAGAAAGCAAGAGGAAGGAACATAGATTCTTTTAACATAAGTGGGTCCAAAAATAAAAGAACAGCTTTAGGGGATATCTTAAGCATCTTGTACCATCTTAGGGGCTCCGAGCTCCCCTGAGCTTTTTCCACTCCAGGTGACTCATTGCCCTATGAGACAACAGTGAGCAGGGGGCTATTCCAGGAAGTCCTAGACATCAGAGGGCCAGGAAACCACCCACTCACACACCTTTATTTCAGACGGACCGAGTTAATACCTCTTAGGCACCTAGTAGCTAGGAGGATGCTCCGGGCCTCTGTTCTCTGAGTTTTAGCATGGACATGGCACACGTGATGGACATGGCACACACGTGGACTTCAGTGACTTGTGGCTACATGAGCACAGACATGAAGCTCTAGATCCAGGGCCTGGCACATAACAGGGTCAAACAAACTGTCTGCCATTGCCACTGAGTCATTCAGAACTGCAAGGGGGGACCAAGAGACACCCCTCTCCCCAACTCTCCCCTGCCCAACTCTGTGCCACTCTTACCCCAAAAGCCTCGTCAAGGAAAACTCTTTCGTTATAAGCAAAGACTGCAAGGCTGATATCCAGGGCGCTGAGCTCCATGGTGGCCGTGAGGATGGACCCTCTATTGTCTGCCTGGCCATTGCTGAAGAACACGGCAACTCTCCTGGCGTTGGTTCCCAGAGACATACGCTTGAAGACGTTGCGGGCCACAAACCTCATTGCGCTGCCAATGTCCCTGGCCTTCCGGGGGACTTGGTATTTTATCTGGGAGAGAAGCTGCAGGAGATGCCTCTTGCTGTGGTAGTCAGACCCGCGGATTAGATAGCCGGTGTCTGAGTCATAGGAAACCACAGCCACCCGTGCGCCCACCGGGCAGTTGGTTTCCCTGACGTTGAGGTCCTTCACAATGGAAGTGACGATGTCTCTCGTTTCATTAAACCTCCCTTCTGTGACACCAGAAGACTGGTCCAGGGCAAATACCAGCTCTGTTGGGTACACGGGACACTTTTCTATGAAAATGAAGGGCAAAAATATTGAAAAGATTTCACCAGATCACAGCCATTCCCATACCCTTTACACCAATGAGGTTGGTTCAGACAAGGTGAAGCCAGGCCTCGGGTCTGTCATCCGGGGATCTAAGGACTCAGGTATCCTGACTGCAGTATGGGCCCCAACAAGACCATCCCCTGGCAGGGTAAGGTTTATACACGGTGGCACTCTGTGAAATGCCAGGCGAGGATGTGGGCCAAAGGGAGGCACATCCAAGAAGCCAGTGTTGATGAGGCAGGATAGATGGTTTGGAAGAATCTTCCACCCCTCCTTCCTCACCCCAGGAAGACAGGAGCTACTCTGTAAAATGTTGAGTGGAAAACTGTGAGGGGTCCTAGATAGGCCAACAGTGTGAGGGACTGTGCGGTCACTGTTGACACTCAGGTCAAAAACATGACACTGACGGGGACCAGTCACCATCAGAAGAGAAATGTCTGCTTAGAAGGCATAAGTCGCTTTTTCCTGGGGGAGGAGGGCTTTCTTCACATTGGTCAAAATACACTAGCTATTTCACCAAGAGGAGTATGGTCAGAAGACTCACCTTTCCAACAGGCTGTTAAAAAAAGATAGATAGATAGATAGATAGATAGAGAGAGAGAGAGAAAGAGAGAGAGAGAGAGAGAGAGGAATCCATTATGTTTTTGGAGCATGAACCAAACAACAACAAAAACCTAAAGGATAGAATCTCAGCCAAACTGAAGATCTGGGTGGTTTATAATGAGACTAATGTCTAAGTTACAGGAAGCCATGGTTAACAAGACAGGGGAGCTGTCCACGGAACCTTGTTCATTTGGGAGCATTTCTGACCATTTCCCCTTGTGAGCTAGAGCTGGCTGACTTCAGCCGAATTGTAGCTGAAGTCGAAAAGCTGACGATTTGTCGTAGCAGCAGAATAGATGAGGCTCTGATTAAACGGCCAGATAGCTGAAATCCAATTTGCTTTGTCTCTCGGCTTCGAGCCTTTGGAGACTCATTCAGCAGAGGCTAAAATATGGGGTCTGGTTTTCTTTCCTGATGAATGCCTCGGGATCCTCGATTTGTAGAACCATGGAAGGCAGGGATTTTCAAATGAACTTTGTCTCTGATTAAAAATTTTTTTTTTTCTTCCAATGGGTTCCCCATGGATTTCTATGAGCAGACCAGCAGCTGGCCTTACTCTGTAAATCTAAGGCACATCAAGGAAAGTGCTGGAAGATCCTTAATAAGCCAAGGGCCTGACAGTACCCATGTTCGGTTGACTCAATTCCTAGGAAGCGAATGAATCATTCCAATTTTGTTTTGTTAAATTCATTAGCACTGGCGACGAGCCGCCTTCGGTTCTGCTGTCCTGGCTGTCCTGGCTGTCCTGGCCCACGGGCCTTCACAGCAGCCTAACTCCTTGTGTATCTCTTACTCTTGTGGTCACTGAGATGGCCCCAGCCATCAGACAGTACACGTAACCAATAATCTCCTTCGTATCCCGAGGCTGAAAACATCTCTCCTTGTATTGACTTCAGCCCCGTGAGACACGCTAGGTTTGAGTCTACCAAAAAGGGGTGACTTTGGGAGAAATCGCTTCACATTTTTACTGGGTTTATTTTCCTGAAACTCTTCATATAGAGCTCCCCTCAAAGCACTAGCCATTTTCAGCCTCGTGGTCTATATCCTATCATCTTCCCACCTCACCCCCACATTCCTAGATCACTTTTATTCTCAGCAGAAGGTCCCAACCACCAGTTTAGAACTTGGCTCTGGTCCTAGGTGAAAAGGAGCTGGTGCAGGGCAGGGAGTCCACAGATTTGAGAGCAGGATCCAGCCTCAAAATAGCCTTGGTGATACCTTCTACCAAGCCATAGCAGCCTGCCACTCAACTTTCATTTTTCTTCTACAAGCAGGACCTTGGTGCTAGCTACCGTACACTCTGCCAGATGATGCACTTTACCTACCCTTTCCCCAGGGAACTACTGGCTGGCTCCTTTCAATCAATGCTGAACAATTCTCCCTCCAAGTCTCAAACTATCCAGTGACTACCCTCCACTCACCCTGGGGTCTTCCCGGGGAAGACTTTTGGTTTCCGTGAGAAGGCTGGTGATGTCTAGAGAAACTGATCACTCCTGCACCCTGTCATTACTGTCCTTTGCCTCCTCTCCTGTGCTGAGGAGACTTCTAACTCTCTGTGTCTTTCATACTACCCCTCCCGCCTGGTCTCCTACCTGTGTGCATGCGTGTGTGCAGTGTGCCCGTCTATGGGCACCACAAAGTGCCTAGCAACTTTTTATGTCGATGCTGGCGACCCAAACCCCATACTCCAGTGGTCCCCCGCGCTGAGATGTCTCCCCAACTGCTCAGATCTGTCTCCCTGTCCCCTTCCAATTTTGAAGATTTGGGATTCCATTCTGTGCACCTTGACCCTTCTTCTTTCTCGCCTTTATAAGTGCATCCCCTCAGTTTCCGTCTCTCTAGTCTCACAGCCTTGGGAACGCCATTGTCTCTGTGATGTCAAGGACCACCCACACGCGTGACTCCAATATTTAAATAGTTACATCACTACCCCTTGAGTAGTCTGCCCTCCATCATGTTACTCATAGTTGTTCTATTAATGATGAAGCTGGTCTATGCCTTTTAGAAGGCCTTACCTACCACAGGCATATCTCTTCCTACAGGCATTACGCCTCATGAGCCCCTTTTATGCCTTTCCTTCCACCTTACATGTGAGATGTCCCTCCAGTCCCAAGGCAATCCTATGACAAAGGCTCTTCACCAGAGAGTTCAGCCTTCTGATCCCACAGGCCCACTCTACACCCAGTCCCAAGTGTTCTTGCCAGCCACTGACATTCTTGACCATAACACCCAGGTACTCACGACTGTGTTTCCGCAGGAACTGGATCAGTTCACAGGACTGGAAAGTTTAAAAGAGAGGGAAAGAGTAAGCATGAGCATAGTGGCCTCCTGGTGGGCGTGCTCAGTTCCCAGTGAACTGGTAGTGGTTTTGTTTTCATTAATAAAGAGATACTTACGGAATACACAGGTTGCCCTGCTATACCTTTAGGACCCTAAGGGGGAAAAAGAACACGTTACTGATTTGTGAACTATAGTGTTTAATAACAAATTTTTAATAATTTAAATCCCTCTCCCTTTTTTGGAAGTAGAACTGACAGAAGGTGCTTAAAGAACTGTGGAGCCTGATGGGTCAATTTCAATGCTCTTTTCCCATTCACATCAAGGGTGTGTATCACTTGTGGTTTGTATCAAGGATGCAATCCTTAGAAGAAATTTCTCTTAAAAAGTTCTTTTAAAAATTAATTTTTTCCCCGGTTGTAAGCAGCAGACTTTCTCCACAGGGTAGAACAAAGGACACAGATGCACTGAGCAGGAAGAGGTAGATTATCTTACAAATCAAAATGCAAAAGGCAATAAGCCTTAGTATATATAAAAGAACCAAAGTACTTAAAATGCAAAAGGCAATAAGCCAAGGTATATATAAAAGAACCAAAGGCAATTGCAAAGTAAATGAGATTTACACAAAAGAAGAGCATACATGCTAAGCTCATAAATGACATGGGCCCAGGGAACAAAGGAATATAAAATAGCTGAGAAGGAGTTTGCTGTGAGATGGTGTCCCCTCAAAATGTCAGAGGCTACACCCGCTAGCTCACTAGCATGATTGCTCTAGTATGACTGAGCAGCATGAAACCAATAGAATGCCAAAATGAATGGGGGATAGCCCATCAGGTTTCAGCCCTCTACAAAGAATTACAGGCAACTGAGGAAAACTGGGAGAGGGAGGGATGGTCCTCCCCAAGGGGGGGGGGAGGACACCAATTGGCTGTCCAATGCTAAGTAGGCCTGACAACATTCATGCAGGTGGCCCTATGCACAATCAGATGCAGGATGAACATCCACTGACAGCTCACAACCATACCTAACTCCAGTTCTGGAGTAGCCAAGGCCCCTTCTGACCTCCATGGGGTCCTGCATGAATAGGGTACACAGATGTACACACAAGCATATGCACACACACACAACATACACACACATAACACACTTTAACCACACATACACACATGCTCTCACAAGAGAACTATTAGAGTGACCCCAAGAAAGTTCCTAACAAAGGCTAAGAACCGTGAACCTGAGACAAAGGCCACGCCCCAATTCAGGCCAGTTGAGCCAAGCACAAGAATGAGATTTAGGACACTGAAATTATAGCCTTACAGCCTGGAAAAAGAGAGGAGCCCAGAGAAGAGATGGATTGGTGGATGGGTGGGAAATGGTCGGGTAGGTAACTCAGTCTTCTCGCCCACATGACCATACTCGCCCACTCCTTAATGCGTTCAGCAGAGACTCCTTTACAAACTGTTATCTTATTCTGCTATGAGTCATTTGGCCAAGAAACTGCCGACTAGTTTTGCTTTGCTGGACCCCGAGCTGAAGAATTCTTCAGTGCCTAAAGCAGATTAAGCGTGTCATGCACTCCTTACAGAGCTGTCTGGGTGCCCTCCTTGTAGCAGGTGCTGGCTGTTTTTTTTTTTAGTTCTGCCCTGACTCTCTGCTTGGGAGAGGAGAGACACTGAATCATCAACCACATGAGAAGCAGCAAAAACAGATGCAGGTTGGGCCGAGGAGGCATGCCTGGCTTGGCAGGAGAATGCTTCCGGAGATGACATTTCTCTTGTCATGGGACCAGAGTGCAAGTTGTGGTTATATTTCCAAATCTCTCTAGGGCCCAAATAAAGGCCAAAAAGGCAACAAGAATGATTCTGGCAAATTCTATCTACCAGGCTGCTTTGCATGCTGGAACTCTGTCAGGAGACCTCTACGAAACGCAGGCAAGCCCATCCTACAACAAAAGCTTCGGTGATGAATCCCAGTAACAGTATCTGCATTGTGCCTACACTTTACAGTGTTTGCTCTCGGTCCTCTGATCACACAGCTACCTTTTCAGCTAGGACAGGGCATGTCATCGTCATTATTAAGATGATATAGACTGAGACACCGTGATGGCTTCCGGAATACAGCGCTTTGCTTCTCTTTTGAAATTCTGCATCCTTTCCATGGGGTATGCCTGAGACAACCACACAAGTCCGTTCCCACGTATACTCACTCTCCGTCCCGGAGGGCCTTGAGACCCCTGAAGTCCACTCTCGCCTTTCAAGCCGTGAGAGAGCTGAAAACAGGAACACACGGGTGTAGTTTCTACATTTCCTGTCTCCATGGAGACTACCTCAGGGTTTAATTGAATTTAATTTTATATGTGTGGGTGTTTTGCCTGTATCTATAGACAGAGCTCGTGTGCACGCAAGTGCCCACAGAGGCAAGCTGGCGTCAGACCCCCTAGAACTGGAGTTATAGATGGCTGTGAGCCATTGTGTAGGTGCTGGGAACTGAACTAAGGACCTCTGCAAGAGCAGCAAGTGTTCTTAACCTCTGAGCAATTTCTCCAGCCCTACAATTATCTTAGTTTAAATGAGATGTTATATTTCTCAAAACTCATTTTTAAGAGAACAGCTGGACTAAAGGAGTCTATGTCAGAGTGCTTGCCTAGAATGTATGGGTCCCGTCCTTAGCATCATAAATAATAATGGTAATAATGAATAATAATTTAATTACAAATAAAAGACAGCAGTTTAATCAAATCAGGTGAATTCCTTGCCCATAACACCAGCCACCAACTCTTCATCATTGGTGAATATACATTTTCCTCTTGTCTACTTTATTTAGCGGCATACATCGCTCTGACACTGGCTGTAAACTTAAATTTAAATTAGTCATAAGCTGGAATTGATGCTATGGGAAAAATATGGCCCAAAAAAGATTGTGTAAAAAAACCTCTTAATAAAGATCAAATAATAAGGACCGGAGAGATGAGCCAGGTTAAAAGCATGTGCCGTTCTTGCAGAGGAACGTTCTTGCAGAGGCCGTTCTTGACCCAGGTTTCATTCTTGATACCAGCATCATCTCTCACAACTCTCTGTAACTCCAAATGATCCAATGCCCTCTTCAGAACACCAAGAGCACATATGTGGTACACATGCACACAGGCAAACAAATGCTCATACACATAAATAAATAACTATGTGTGTTTGTTTTGCTTTATTCCAAATGTGTTTGGTTTTGTTTTATCATATATATTAAATTATATATATTATATAGTATACTTCCTTAGAAGTCTACTTGTTTTCTAATGAGTGGCAGAAAGAGGGATTATTCAGATGGAAGAGGATGTGGGGAGAAATTGAGAGGAGTAGAAGGAAGAAAAAAGTAATCAGGATATCTTATATGAAAGAAAAATCTATCTTCAATAAAATAAAAACAAATATTTTAAAATCAAATAACAAAAATAACTTCCCACATACAAGATGGTACGTGAGTTGACTATGTTTATTCCCCAAACTCAAAGTGATAAAAAAGATACTGAGAAATTCAGCCCAATGCAAAGGACCTGCTAAACTGCATCTCTTCCACACCCAGGAATAGCAGAGACATAGCACTCAGACTTCAAAATAAAAAGATGCTTGTCTCGGCCATTTGTACTTAAGAAGGCGAAGTCTTTGTGCTCTGCTAATTAGAACACCTCAGTACCCTTCCTTAAAACAATACTCCATTCCACCACCTAATAGAATCCTCGGACAGCCCCCTGGGACACAGGGAGGATACCAGCTTCAATCCCAAAAGACTGCAAGGCAGTGGTATTTCTTCAACAACCAGTCACCAGTTTGTAAATCTTAAAAATCATTCCAGTTCATGGAACCGCGAATGGCCACGTGTGTCGCTAGGTTCGGTTCTTATATGTGGGAAATATAGGTCCAAAGTCACATGACTCGTTGGTAGCTTTCAAGATGCCTTTGGACTGGATCAACATTTATCATTACAGTGAAAAAGCAGAGGTCACCAAGAAAAGTGCTTATTCTTTCTGGAATCATGGGCCACTTACAATCAATCCCTTGAATCCTTTGGGTCCAGGCTCCCCAGGAATTCCAGCATCTCCAGCATCACCCTGGAGATATATATATCAAGATGTTAAAATCTTTGCTATGAAAGAATTTAAAAATTCTAATCAATACTTAAACTGGCCTTGTAATCATTATAACGAAAGCTAATACAACAATAAATGCATCTTGACATGAATGTAGAACTGAACCATTGGTACAGGTGGATATTCTTAAAACTATTTACAATACTCTAATAATACAAGTATTTGTACATAAATATCAATTCAGGGACCATCCAGTTGCCAGAACAACCAGAGACTATGCTAGCAAACATAAGTATTGACTACCAAAAGTATTAATGACTTCCTAGTTCTATGAGTTACTTCTGGAAAAGTTGAAGGTAATAATAATAATAAAAGCTTGGCATAAGAAGATGTTCCAGCTGGTAAAAAGTGCTGATGGAACAAGGCTGAGGTCCTGAGTTCAAACCCCTAGAATCCATGTTAAAAAAAAAAGCCCGATGTAAAGGCGTACACCAGCAATGCAGGCCCTCCCATATCAACATCCCTCCCCACTACCTACACACTAAATTTTTAAAGGTTAAAAACGTACTTAAAAGTTGTGGCAGCATGCACAAGACCTGCTCAAACCCAAGCCAGAACAAACCCCAGCGTGGGAGGGGGGTGGACAGGAAGTCCCGCCCCTAGCTAAAAAGCTATTGGCTGTTGATAGCCTTTGGGAACTGGAGAATCACATTTCTCTAAGGGAGCCACCTTAGTTATCTTGCTCTAGTGGAAGGCCACACATCTAAGAGTATAAGGGAGGGACAGAGATTGTACTTGATGGGTTTTGTTTTGGTTTTTTAATGGAGGGGGCCGTTGGTGGGTATGAAAAGGGAATAGATCTACAAGAAATGGGGGAGGGGTAAATATTGTCAAGATACACTGTACAGAATTCTCAAAGAATTAATAAGAAATAACCTAAGATGTAAAAATAAATCAAAATGGGACTGGAGAGATGGTTCAGTGGCTAAGAGCACCAGCTGTTCTTCCAAAGGTCCTGAGTTCTAGTCCCAGCAACCACATGGTGGCTCACGACCATCTATAACAAGCTCTAGTGCCCTCTTCTGGCCTGTGGGCACACATGCAGGTAGAACACTGTATAAATAATAATACGTCTTTTTGAAAAATAAATCAAAATGCTAAAGATTTATTTAAAGAAATTCAATTTAACTTTATTTAAAGGAATTCAGTCTGGTAGTTATTTATTAATATGCTCACATCACATCAGTCAATAAGTTGTTACATCCTCCTTTTGTCAATGAATCAGAAATCGATCCTTTATACTGAGAACTCTTTTTCTGAGAGTTACTTATATAGTCCATTCCTAAACTCTTGTCAGGTAATCCATCAGCAAAGAACACATTTCAGATGTCCTGAAACTTGGATGTTCTCCTGGAGTTTATTCTTTAGGTACTCTACTTTAGGCCCAGACTTCTCTTCTTGGTTGGGCCATTACAGAGGCAAAGGCATTCTGGAGTTTGGGAACTCATAATACAGAATCCTGGTCTACACAGATGTAATGAGGGCAGCTCCTGATGACATTACAGGTGTAATCTTTCTGTAAGCATGCAGACAGATTATCTAATAGACAATGAAGAATTTGGAAAATGTTAGACCAAGAAGGCAGTATAATTAGACCAGTGAGCATGTCAGTTGGGGTCTACTAACTGAAGGAAGATGGAAATAGGAGACCACTGAGAAGAAAGTGGAGGTTTTCAGGTGAGAGGAACCAGAAGCCAAAATAATGCTGGATTAGCAATGATAACTAAGGTGGTGAGTGAGATCACCAAGCTGGAGAACTAACCCAGAGAGGTTGCCTGGAGGCTGGGGTTCAGTAGGGGTGTGGATCATTGGGGTGAAGCAGGTAACCAAGGGCAGGATGTGATCTTTTCTGATCACAGGGTTAAGGTAAGCCCAGAGGAATCAGCTGACCAACACCTCCCCACTTCCCACTGTACCCAGACCAAAGGCTCAGCTCATTTCTCAGAAAGGCCATAGTAATGGCAAAAGAAGAAATTCGTATGCACCTCACCTTCTGCCCTGGATCCCCAGGAAGTCCTGTCAGGCCCTGAAATTTTCAGCAGAGAGCATATGTTAGTCAACAGACCGCTTCCTCGTTTCTTCTCGGTATATTTAGGTTTGATTTATCAGTTGAGAAAACAACTGATTTGCATATTTACCTTAACTCCTTTTCGTCCCATCTGACCGTAGCCTGGGATGCCATAATCTCCCTGTAAACACATCATCAGTTCATTTCAGTTTCTCGGAAGCTATCTGGATGAAGAGGCTGCAGTGTTATGAAAAAGAGCTATAGATAAGGGTGAGAGTCCTCACTTCCTGTTGTCTCTTCTCCCCTGTGCTGAGGATTGAACCCAGAGCCTCTTGTATGCTGGGTAAATGTTCCACCACTGAGCTGCAAGCCCAGCCCTCTCCTTCCTGGTGTGGACGCTCCTACTTCTCTGGCCAGCTCCACTCTACAACCACTGTAGGAGGCAGAGGGATAACTGCTCTGGATTTGTGCATTCACCAATTTCTTATCTGGAAAAAAATATGACTGAGGAATTCAACCAAAGACTTATAAATGGGGGTTGGAGAGACAGTTCAGTAGTTAAGAGCACTGACTGATCTTAAAGAGGATCTGGGTTCCATTCCCAGCACCCACATGGTGGCTCACAAGCATCTTCAGCTCCAGTTGCAGGGAATCTGATGCCTTCTGGCCTCCACAGGCACCAGGCATGTATGTGGGGCACAGACGCACACGCTGGCACTCATACTAATAGATAAAATAAAAATAACTCTTTTTTAGAAAGAACTTAAAATGGTAAATAGATGCTAGCAGAAGAAATTTGTTCATCCTCATCGGTAATCAAAAAAAGTGATTCTGAAACAATTAATGAGTTACCATTTTTGCCAAGAGTAAAGAGGAAAGAGAAAAAGTTACAATAAGTTACAATAACCGTTGCTGGTGTGGAGGCCCTAAAACAGTGGTTCTCAACCTTCATAATGCTGTGGCCCTTTAATATAGCTCCTCATGTTGTGGTGACCCGCAACCATAAAATTATTTCATTGCTACTTCATCACTATAATTTTCCTACTGTTATGAATCATAATGTAAACTATCTAATATGTGAGCCCTGTGGGGGTTGCAACCCACAGCTTGAGACCTGTTGCCCCAAAACCTTCAGGCTCCTACACATAACACATAGACCCACATAGTGTTTAAATCTTTCTAAGAGTGTTTAAAATATATTTCAAAGGCCTGATTAAATGTACATTTATCTGACCTAGCTATGAAAATTCTAGAACTTTCTACACAGAAATTAATTACAGCATTGGGGATGTAGCTCAGTGGTAGAGCCTGGCACACATGAAGCCCAGGATCCTGTCCCTGGCCCTTAGCCCCCAGACCTCAGCCCCCAACCCCCAGCTCCAGCCCCCAGCCCCCAACCCCCAGCTCCAGCCCCCAACCCCCAGCTCCAGCCCCCAGCCCCAGCCCCCAGCCCCAGCCCCTTCTAAACCAGTTCACGGATGTGTTCTCACGACAGCAGAAAACCCGAAACAAATTAAATATCTAATAATAAGAGATCAGCCAAAGCACGGTCTTTGCCCAAGCCAAGTTCTGATGCTTGTTGGGATTAGTAAGCAGGCCACGTTTCCTAACACTGCTCATCCTAAAAAGCTGATTAGAAGAGGCAGATTAATAGTGGGAAGCACAAACGGAGACTCATTCATTGAGGCCACACTGGGAAGAGGGGCAAAGAGACTCAGTGAACTTCAGGGGAGCATTTTGAAACTACCGGAGTGACATTGAGAGAGCACAGTGAACTGGGAGTCTGGCAGGAGGGGAAACTGAGTGATTTTTTTTTCACTTTGCTCTGTTTAGGATGTTAAGGCTAAATATCTCAAAATGGGCAGAATATGGTAATGTTTTTTTTTCCATCGCTACCCAATTTCATGCCTGGGGAACTTGCATTTTCCCCCTTTTCTTTCTCTCATTCTTTCTGAGTACTCATGTTTTCAAACTGAATCACAAAAAGATGGGTAATTTTTTTGTTTGTTTGTTTTGAGTTGGGGGTCTCTTATAGCCCAGGATTTTCCTTTCTGTTTCTGAATTCAACTTTATTACATTTTGTATATGAGATTATGTGGTCTGGTGTTTGCATTTTTGAGTCCTTTTTTTTTTTTAGTTAATTGTGTTTTTTTGTTTCTTTATATTTTTGCCTGCCTTCTTTTAGTTTATGTAACAACCTACAGGTTCAACCATGTTGTCATATATGTCAGGATTTCCTTATTATTTTAAAGCCCAAATAGTATTCCATCACATAGCCATACCAGAGTTTGTTTATTCATTCATCCACAGATGAACATGGGTTGACTCCAGATCTTGGCTACACTTGGAAATTTTCTACTATTTAATATCTACACATAATTTGATAATTAACATAGAATGACTCTCCCTCTTTTGGCTGTCCCTAGCTGAGATTAGGTTCAGTAGAGCCTTAAATAGCAGTGGCCTGTTTCTTGGGCCTCTTCTGCTTCTTAATCATGGTAGGGTTTTGCAAGGGGAGAAAGATGGGCTGTTTTGTGGTTCAGCCAAAATGTACAAATACATGCTATGCTGGTTGTTAAAATATTGAAATGCCCCGTTCTCGATCACCCGATCCTCTCTCTGCCTTTACCTCATCTCCTCCAAGCGCCCCCACCCCCAACCGAAAGGCCAGGTGCCCCGGAAAGCAGCAGCAGATGGAGAACTGCCCTACATCTTCCTACCCCAGGAGCTGGAGACCAGGCTGCCCACCCCCTCCCATCCCCTCCCATCCCCCTTGCCTCAGAAACAAATACCCACAGCCTTGTACCTGTTCTCCTCGCTGTCCAGGGGTCCCCGCTGGCCCCAGGCTTCCAGGAATTCCAGGTTCCCCCTAGCAAAGGAGATGAAAAAAAAAATGCAGACCAGCAAAGTCAAACCTGCCTCAGGCAGTTCTGTTCACTGAGTGAGGGGACCCAGGGTGAGCAGCTGGCACTCAGTAGGGCCGGGGTGAAAGACCAATCCAGTCTACCCATAGGAGAGCAGAACACACATAGCACTCCACTGTGTATACATACCACAGTGCTTCCTGCTTCCCTAGTGTCGGGGGACTGCAGAAAAAGGAAGGGTAGAAAGCTCACTCTGGGGAAAGCTGGCTCCTTTGCTCGTGCATTTGCTCGCACAGTATTTGCTTTTTGTCCCGGAAGAGGAATGACTCAGTATGATAAATGTAGTCCTGCTCTCCCTGAGCACAGTGTGGTTAGAAGGAGAAAGAATGAGGTGGACAATTAGAACCCTGTTACAACTATAGCGAAGAGTGACGCTGGAAGAGGGGGAAAGCCAGGGGGCGGGACAGGAAGAAGCTGAGCTGAGATGCCTTGGAATTAAATAGGGGGAAATGCAAAAAGCTTTTCAAGCTTCTCCCCGCTCTGCAGGCCCAGGGTTGATGGCCAAATAACACTGTAAGGAAGCTGAGGGTGTGTAGCATGTGCATGTATGTATCTATTGAAATGACTGCTGCAATCACGTCAACTGACACAGCTCCCACCACCGCTTGTCAATCCTCTTCCATTTGGGTTTGGAATTTTCTTGTTGATATGTGAGTGTATGTATGTTCAGGTATGTGTATGTGTATGTGTATGTGTGTGTAGGTCAGAGGTCATCTCTGGCACTTTCCACTTTATTTTGTGAGACAGGCTGTCTCAGGAAACCTAGAGATCACCAATCCAGCTAGGCTGGCTGGGCAGCATCGCTGTACCCAGCTTTTTACATGGGTTCTAGAAGATCAAACTCAGGTCCTCATATTGTTCAGCCTGTTACCAACTGAGCTGACTCCCAGGCCCTGTTTTATAAAAGCTTGAAGACTTTCCCAACAGAAAAGCAACAACAGAGATTTCTGGACCCAGTATTGAAAAGAAAAGAAAAGAAAAGAAAAGAAAAGAAAAGAAAAGAAAAGGAAAGGAAAGGAAAGGAAAGGAAAGGAAAGGAAAGGAAAGGAA